CACGGCTGATGCTGATTTTGGCTGATGCTGACTCTCACGTGATGATCTACAAAATTAGCCAATAGAGAATCGTGATTAGCTAGCAAAAGGGGATTCTGTGATTTTATTATATACCTCACTAACCTCTAACCTTAATCTAACCTCTAACTCTAATCTAAACGCATATAAACAAACTCTGTACGTGACAACAAAAGTTTGTTATATATGTCGTGACATTTATAACCTTTCCCCAGCACAGATTTGCAGGACATCGTCCCGTTTTGGGCCAAATAATCTATATATCATACGTCATTTGTTTTTTACAATTGTTTATCGTTATCTGTTATAATAAGGTAATTGTTGCAAATTGTTGTTATATTAAAATTATAATTTTATATGATGAATGCATGTATCAAATTAAAATAATTCTAAACAAAGAGACCCTGTACCCTTGAGAAAGCGCACCTCTGAACACCTTCAAAATTTTTGAAGCAGATTTGTTTAATTCTCACATAAGGTCAATGGGTCATATCTTTGTGAACTACAGTATTTTAATTTGTAACTCTAGAATTTTTTTTCAAATTAAATAATTCTTAGCAAAGAGATTCAGAACCCTTGAGAAGGCGCACTTCTGAACACCTTCAAAATTTTGAAGCAGATTTGCTTAATTCTCACATAAGGTCTATGAGTCGTATCTTTGTGAATTATTTTAGATTGAAAAAAAATTTATTTGATTAAAAATAGACATTAATCTTAAACACCCAATGAGAAAACAATTAATATATTTTATTCGAATTTTATAGGGTGAAATCACAAAACTGAGTTGAAGAATACTAAATTTAATGTAAATACTTTGCTATCCCGAATTTTTGAAATTTAATGCACGGTATTGGGGAATTTTAATTTTATTTCTCCGGGATTCTTTAAACGTTGGGATCAAGCTCAAAGTCTTTCAGCAAAAGATCGTGGTGCTCAAAAATTTGGCGACGTAATTGGATATTTACAGGAAGTGATAAAAATCTTTATGAGCTCTTTTTTGTAGAGGTATTATACGGGCCATTTCATCAAGATCCAGAACCTCATATCAATGACAATAAAAAAAAATTAGGCAAACTAGGTAAAGATTCGATTGATCGAATCAATAGATTATTAAATAGAGTGGAAATTCCAGTTATTTTGGTGCATTTTTTCAAGAAGAATTTTTTTTTTATCTTATGGATAAAAAAATTTCACCCGTATACAGAAAATTATTAATAGGACATATACGAATCCTATTGTTTAAATGTTCATATAATATGTTAAATGATTTTTTTTTAGAATTATGGAATTTTAGATCGTATTTATCTTATATTTTTTATTCTTTAAATTCTTTAAATAATTGTGAAACAGTTTTTAATAGTACTACAGCAAAAGCAACTATAAAAACATTTTCTTCTCCCAGCAATTATAGATAGTAAGATATCATGTGTAAAAATTGATTCATTTATAAGGCTTGATCTCTCCTTATAATATGAATTATTCCAAATATGCTTAATATCACGAACTAATTGTTTGCCATTTCTCTCTACTTTATTTTCATTTTTCTTAAGCCAAGCTTTAATATTTTGTTGATTAAATGGAATTTTTTGTTTGGGTAATCCAATTTCATTAAGCTGTTTCCACTCGTTAAGATTAGAAATTTTTTGGAATAAGCAAGGTTTTTGACTTTTGATATTTTCTAAATCAATTATACCTGAATATAAAGGGTTATCTTCATCTAGCTCTTCTTTTGGTGTTTCTGAAATGTATTTTCCAATGGTTGATATTAATTTGTTGCTATTTGAAGGCCACTATTAAAATTTATAAATATTTATATAAATATTAAAATAATGTTTCAAAAAAATATATATAAAAACATTTACATTTTTTATACTCTGTATTGCTGAAATTGTTTTAACATCTTGTGAAAGATCAAATTCTGACCAGCCAAATTTTTATTCACATCAATTATCAACAAAGACAATATATGGGTTTTTGTATAATCTCACTGAATTTCTTTCATCAAATCAAAATAAACTTTTGTAATACTTTTATCATTCTATTTAAAATAAAAAATTATTAAAAAAACTTTACAATTTTTTATTTTTAAAAAATTATTAAAAAAGCTTTACAATTTTTATTTTTAAAAACTTACTTCTGTTAATTTTTGTTTAATTTTACTTCCTAAATAGTATTGCTTAAGTTCATTATAAGCATCTACAAAATTAATTTTCTCACTATTTGAATGTTCTGCAATGAAATTACCATGATATATATGATAAACTACATATTCATGATAAGAGTAATTCTTATCATTTTTATTATTTTTGAAGATAAAGTATGATCCGAATTTATTTGTTTTGCTTTTTGATATTTAAAAAATGTTTGAAACGAAAAATTAATCTTTATCGTGAATAGCCCCATTTATTGCACTATTATACAGTAGTTGATAAAGGCAAAGAAACATGCACACAAATACTTTATCCGATTTAGTGACTAGACTTGTATTAATTCGAGACTCGCGAATTAAACTCCGAAGAGTTGCTCGAATCATTCAAATAATAATATTCTTCGAGTTTTATTCGAGTTATTCGAGTCACATAAATTAATTATCGTAAATAGCAAATTGAGAGTTACAAAGCAAGCATATTTTAGTTTAATTCGTGTGTTATAAAAAGCGAATTATAACAA